TTCAAAGAAACATTTTTAAATCCATCAACTTGTCGTACATCATCATAGTTAGGAATATTAGTTCCAACAGGAATTCCAGAAGTTTCAAACGTAACTACATCCAAACTAGTAAGGTCTGGCTGTAAGAAATTAACTTTTTCAAATGTAGAAGGCCATGGTAAATTTGTTAACAACCTTTCAGCATTATTCACAAGTCGTTGGAATCTTTTAGACACTGATCTATTTACAACAGCGACAAATGATTCAAACCTTGCACGAACACCAAAGGGATCACGGTATGACTCTATAAACCCAATATACTTTTCAACAACAGAGTTCTTATCTTGAACCCATAACCTGAAGGCATCTTTGTGAGTGGCTACTGAGCCAGTAGTGAAGCTTTCAGCATACTGATGCCACATTTCTGATTCGATTTGGTTAAGCGAATGTGCTTTAAAATCTTTATAACAATCGACTAGTAACTTCATCAGTTCCCTATAGTCACCATATTCAAGCTGCAAAGATGTGTCCGAGGGAAGGGCATCTCTTAACTTCTCACGACGTTGACTTAGAGGGATTTGCAGGTCATGGTAACGTTGGGCTAACTGTCTTTGTTTTTCTTGGATAATAGGGGCGTCGAAATGACTTTCTGCAGCAAGCGTGTCAGCATGGACTTTGAATGCATCTATACGTTCACGATGAGCAGCTACATCACATTCAAGCAAGTTGTGCCGCTTTTGTGCGTTCATCACACCGTTTAGATCACGACCGACATCCTCTGAGGCTATCTGAGCTTCAACATCATTCAACCATAACTCGACATCTTCTATGTTGTGAGCGAACTGTTGTTGCCTACTTGCTTGATCTAAATTTTTCTTCTTGTCTCTCACGGCATTTACGAGATGAGACCAAGTTTCATCCAACTGTTCAATCTTTACTTTTATTTCTGGCGAGTTGTAATGGTTTGCATTTAACAAATCCTGACCTGTCTTTTCAATATCTTCAACGCGGGATTGGTTCGCTTGTATTTCTGCCTCGAAATTCTGGTGCTTCTGCATCTTTGTTTGCGAATTCGTGGAGTCTTTGTAACTTTCATCAAGTGCATTATTAAGTTTCCCTGATATCCACGACTGCATTTCATCTGCACCTCTATCGAACATTTGGCAACGGTGGGAATCTTGAAGACGCTGACGGCGGTTCTGAGCTTTCTCCTTTAATGCATTTCGTCTACTTTGAAGACCTTCCTGAATCTCATGAACCTGTGCAGACGCATAGTGGTTTGATTCGATTAATTTTGCAGCGAATTCATCAAGTTGTCGCATCTTTTCTTCTTGTTCTAAAAGTGATCTTTCAGAGTCTTCATGTTTCCTTATGATTGCTTCGACAGAATCGAGTGAGTCTCCCACATCTTTTATTCCTAAGAGGGCCTCTTGCTTACCAATCCAAGATTCCGACTGTTCAGCTTCGCGGTAAAAATACTGAAGGCCCATACATTGTTCTAGTTGTTCACGTCTTTCCTCACACAACTGCATCAGGGAGGCTCTCTGTCTTTCAAGGGTGGAAAGTTTAGCAGCTATGTCTTCACTACAGGGATGGCCAACACTTAGTAGTGCCTGACCTTCTTGCATGCATGTATCGAAACTGTCAGCTCGAGAATTTATCTCAGTGGTGTATTCCTTATGTTGCTCTACTTGGGCTTCAGCACCAGCTACATCCTTTGCCAAATCATCCGCCGATATTAACGTCTTCATTTCATTCATCCAGATACTCAAATCTCTCCAGTCAACCAAAAAGCGATGCATCTTGAATGACTCTTCCAGTTTACCTCTCCTATCTACAGCCTGACCTTTCAGCTTATCCCATGCAGTGATTAAGGCGTCATACTTGCCTTGTATAGTGTCTTGCGAATCAGGATGCTTCTGTGCAAGCGCCTTAGCATCATCTCCAAGTCGAACAATCTTTTCATCTGGGGCAGTCAAATCCCTTTCTAATGCTTCGTGCTTCCTTTGTAAGGCTTGAACTGAGGCAAGATCACGACCACAGTCCTCAATGGATAAGGGAATAGACTTTTCATTCACCCACGATATAGCTTTATCTGTGTCTCTAAAGAAGCACTGTATCTCATAGGCTTCCAGGAGCTTTTCTTGTCGTTTTCTAGCCAGATCCTTCAGACGTTCTAGAGCTTCGCGGACCTGTCTGAACTTTTCTATGACTAGGGCATCCTCAGGAAATTTCTCTTTTAGAAGTTCATCTGCCTTCCGATAGATGTCTTCGACACGACTTTCTTGATTCTCGAGATCTTTTGTAAACTCATTAAACCCTTTTTGAAGTGTCTCAACATCTTCCAAGTCTTGACCTAAATCCTCTGATGTTACGTAAGTTTCGTTTTCACGTATCCAGAAAAGTATTTCGTCGACTTGGCGTAAAAACTGGACAAATTTAAGCTTTAGGTTAATGACACTGGATTTTTCTCTGAAAATAGCCATAAGCCTTTCCCACAGGGCATGCAATTCATCAAGACGGTTTTTGATAATATCTGTTGCGTAGTGTCCCTGACCAATCATTTCTTCTCCCGTAGAATCTAGAGCTGAGAGTGTTTCAGCATGAACTGTTACTTCGAACTCAAACTCTTGATATTTCTGTTTTTTCAGCTGAAGATTACTGAGTTCTTTAAAATCCTCATTTGTATATGTTTGCAGTTTTTCATTGATCCAACACTCAAGTTCATCGGCATTCCACTTAAAATATTGATATGCTTTAAGCATGTCCAGAAACTTAGATATGGTTCTGGCGGACTCATCATTAGGAGATACAGAAACTTTATGAGAAGTAGAAGGTTTGTAAAGCGATTTATTGTGACAAGAACATTCGCGACTACCTTGTCGTAATCTTTCTAATTCCATTTCTTTCTCTTTTTGGACTATGCGCAATTTCGCTAGCTCCAATTCTACCATATAGCGTGATTCATACTCGTTGCTTCCAAGGAAATCAGCTTCATTACTCTTTCCTAATTGTGGAGTTAACGACGGCATAGTTTCATAACTTTCATCTGACATACTGTTCGAAACTTTGTAGGATTATTTTTGTCCTACAGATTTAGTCCTTCCTCAATACTGACGATACAGAGTCTCGGCTTAGCTATAGTTAAAAACAGGATGACTTGACTTTAACTTTATCTGTTTCTAAAACATAAAATAAACCATACAATTACACCAAGAAAAATGTACAAATCCATTGTCATTACAAAAATAGGACAAAAACGTACCGAACAGTATTGAAGGTACGGACAAAATGAACAGTCAATTAATTACATGTATACACAAGTAAAGTGACAGACAAAAAAGAACATTCAAGGTCATCACGTGGTGAGAGTTACAATAAATTGGCCAATAATCGCGACAAGAAAGGTCACATAATATTGATTGGCTGTTTATCATACAGTCTATCTATCTATCGCGATTAACACGGTGTTCAACCATTATGTGAAATGCAGTCTGCATTTGGACTCAACAGTCGAAACGCACTCCACGTGGCCACAGTAGTAAACACATGAATCCCATCAGTTGTTTATCTTTCTTATTGTAACCTCACTTTCCAACATTCACAGCGTAATGTCAATGAGCAAACATCCTCGAAGTTTAGTGAACTGTAGTGTTGATAAACATGAGTATAAACAGGCCTAGTCACTGCAGACCATGTCTTTCATCAATGAATAATAAGAGGAAATCAGCACCCCACTACAACGTGAAACTAATGCAACAGTGAATGATCAATCGAGTCTCTAACAAAGGAGGCCGTTTGGTATAGACGAATTACTCCCGGTTTCTTACTTTGAGAAACTTGGGGTCGTATCTCGACCCTATGTACACCATAACTACGTTGGGGTAGTGATTTCCAGGTTCAAAAATACTCGACTTTCCCACAAGATATCCGAGACTAGGGATGGTTTTTAAACTTGATTTGTTTGAGAAGGATATAATTTCAGGATATAAACACGTGGGAATAACTGATCACATTTCAATCATTACCCCCCCTTACCAAAACCCACAAACCTACTAATGTTCAGATCACCAACAATCACGTTGAAACCTAAACTTGGTTGAGCAGACTAGGCTTCTCAATTACCTTCAGACTACACTGATACTGTGAGTGTGTTGGAGATCGCCGTATCACAATTCCTTTTCGCGAGAGCCTCCGGTGCTCTGGAATTTTGATCCTAAATGTACTGTGTATTTACTGGAAGATTCGGTTCATGTGTTACACTCTCTAAGTGTATCTACTCATCTTCAAGCACTTCAATCTGTATACTGCTTATTTATTCGGACTTTCATCATTTATCCATTGGATCAATTCGTGGAAAGAAGAATTTCCAGCGAGTAACCGCGATACCAGCATAAACATAATTCGACCACACGATTTCAGAATTTTTGATGTTATTTAACGTCACTAAGCGTTGAAGAAGTGAGTTCTCATTACATTACCGGGAGTATGACTGAATTTCACTTCGATTCAGGGCGTCCCACTATCTCAGTGGTTTATTCCAATGAAACCAAATAAGGAACAAAGATCTATCTCTGCAATGGAGATTCATATCACATGAAGCAACAGTACACTCAATCTCATGATTCGAAAGTTTCGGGAGAATTACAACTCCTTCAAGTGTTATTACTTTCTCGTTCAGGTGGCAAACCAATGCAGAATGTTGTCCAACTCAGAAGCTCATATTTTCTATCGGTCAGCAGCATTTACTAGAGAATAGTTGAGCAGTGCATCCGAGGCCCACATCAACCATTGCACGAAGAATTTATAACCAGTGTGAAAGCTGATGATGAAACAATCCTTGAAAGATATGTTTCAGTTCGTGGATTCGGTAGGGCAAGTGATTGTATCTGGACCAGTTATGGGCTAAATAGACATAATTTCCCCAGTCACCAACGTCCCCTAACGGAACTTGTCTTCAACCTACGTGAGTTTTTCAATTCAAATAATCTGAATGTTGTTACATCCGCTAATCATATAAAATGGTCGATATTCGGATGCATATTACCTGTCCAGTTTTCATTCGGTAGTCGTATATATTCATGGACCAATGATTCCTCCACTTGATCCATCACTCATTGATTGCTAATAGAGAGCTTTGGCTCAAATATTCTCCCACCGACAATCAATCGGTACAAGGACAACATGTCAGAAATGTGTATTTTTCTAGAATTGATAAAAATCATGGCCTAAACAAGCTCCTGTGAACGTGTTAAAGCCCACATCTATCGATCAAATTTAAAACTGATGCCCAGCTAAGAATACGATCAGATGGAAATCTATGAAGATAAATCTACGGCAAGTCAAAATCCAGTAGACGGCTGACCAGCTTTCGCAGTTCTGTCCCCATAAGCAGAGGAGGGCATCTCATGACCTTTCTCGTGGTGAAAGTCCTCCAGAATCAGTTGAATGAACAATCGATGTCTAACCGATTTCATCGGCAAACATCTGGATAGAACAGTCGAAATATTTGGAACTTTCGATGTGATGAGTGAAGGACTGATTGTAAATCTGAAATTTAAGGCATATTCGGTTAGTGAAGTTCCCTTGTGCCACCCTTGGAGAGCAATTCGAGGAACCTCCTCAGCTCAGTGTCTACGCCTCCTTTTCCCCACACATGTTCTTATTCCACAAAACGTCAGGGACGAATTCGTGCGGTTGTCAGCTTGAAAATGCAATTGACAACTCACTTGCTCCTGAGCAGAGAAGTACACAGGCGTTGATCAGATAGGCCCAAGAACACTCATCGACATGGTCGTCATGAGTAGTACACAGGATGGTCAGCAGCTCAGTGCTGAGGCGCACCATTACTACCGGCTACACAACACTTTTAAAGAATCCATTCAGAATCAGATTCAAGTGCCATTTAACTGTTCGAAATGGTTCAGCCTACACCTCCATGCAGCTGGGTTTGCTGCAACACATAGGGAGGAAACCTGATCTCTCCGCACGGAAATGTTTTGTCCCGCTTCACTTACTGCCTTAACCCGAGTGTCGACTTCGTTTCCTTTAGTTGTTGTGTCATGAAACCTATGTAGTTCTCTGTATTTACAACATCTTACTTTTTGAGCTCACCATTCTCTGTTACCTTGTCCCCTATAAATCATTTCCAAACGATAATTTTTCATGTTACCGGCTTTCTGTCAGTCTTGCCGACTACGTAGACTCATCCACAATTTTTCGCGTACTGTTATGACTGAATAACTTTGATTTGTTCTGTCATTAAGTGAAAACAGTTTCCGACGTCTGTTAACAATTGACTTTCATATATAAATTCCTAGACAACTGTGCAGCTTTGAAGTGAATCTACGAGGACAGATCTTTCTACTTGTGTTGAATTAACGAGAGGAAAGTGTTTGTAATATAATATGCTGTCTCTTCTTTATACCCACCAGTTTGCAGACACCATCAGTATGTTGAATCAGTAATATAGAATAGGTTGGATCATAGTTAATTTTAACACGCAGCTTTATACACCTGCAAGTATGGGACAAATTTCGTGGAACAAACTGAGCATAGTTTGTTTGCAGTGGTGGATGTGGAGTACGCGTCATAATCTCGTGAATGAGCATTATATAAATTCAACCGGAAACAACACATTTTGTGAGTGACTGCTTGGGAAAACTGGCCCCCCTTGCCGGTGAATACAATTCAACCGGCACTCCAACACTGAATCTGTGTGCGAAATTCAACTGTCTTATACCACCGACAAGGCTTCAGGCGCTTCTTTTGTAGCAGCATCTCCTTCATTCGATCAGATAAGAAGAATGTTCGGTCTATTCGGGACTGCTGTGAAACCGGAAGTAGCGGAATTTCTACGTAATTTGGAGACGCTTTTCTTATACTTTGTGAGTACTTCCGTGCCCATTCTTTTGGGCAGACATTCTGTGGCTCCTTTATAATTGTTATTTGATTACTATTGATCATAACTGGTAGTGTAACAGTCGAATGTAGCCTTAAGAATGCACTTTATCCTCCCATATTCCGTAGTACCTGGGGTTCAGCTGGGAGTGGAAATAATCCGTTAAAGCAGGCCCGATCTCGTATACTGGCCGTTAATGCGAGAGTGAGAACGCTGAAGATGACACTACAAGGGGCCCTAGGGAAGATTCATCAAACTGAATTTATTCGAGTGTGCTCTCATTTTATACAACTTAAGATTCCCGTCCCTAGAATCCTTTGCCAGTGGTTATGGCCGCCGTAACTTGTGTGATCATCTTGAAGCGGAGGCCTGACAATCATGCAGGGACAAAACGATTGAGTCTCGAAGGCCTATCCCCTATTACAAAAGACATCCAATCGCAGCAACACTACCCTCCAAGTCAACTGAAGCTGTGATAGTGAAGTCGCGGGACGACGCAAGCCGAAGCCTACCCATGACCTGGAACTTTTATTTAAGGACCGAGACTTATTTTTATTCGCACTAGCGCAGAAAAAGCATATTGGATGCTGAAACCGAGAGCGCGTAATATTGTTAGTGCGCTACAATTAACCGAAATCGCAGGTTACCGCGCGTACCTTGAATACGACGTGCTTTCTCCTCTCTAACCGGAAAATACCTATTTTGTGAATTATCCGCTTGGGAAACCTGATCTCCCCAGCCGGTGAATTAAATTCAACCATTGCTTACATACTGAATCTCTGTGTGGTAAGTCCAGCTGTCTCAAACTAATGCCAAAGCTTCAGGTGCTATTTTTGTAGCAGCATCTTCCTCACTCGTTCAGATAAACAAGACTTGTTGGTCTACCTCGTGATTGCTGTGAAGCCGATCATCCAGAAAGTACTAGGTAAAGTCGAAAACCTTTTCCTTGTCTTGTACTTTTTCAGTCTTATATTTGTTCTTGCGTGTAGATACTGTTGCACTCTTATTCTTATATAGCATAAGTTTTAGTGATTGGTCATATGGCTGTCGAAAGTAGCTTTAGAAATGGCATTAAAACATTTTAATCTGTAGTCACAAGGGCTTCAGCCAGAGAAGGCAAAAACCCAGGGGCACCAACCCTATGTCGCATACCGATCCTAAAGACTCGTGTAGGTCTCGTCTGTCCTGATACTGTGCCTGCATTGCCACGGTCTAGTACTGAATCGGCACAGGTAATACCAGGGGGACAGGATACTACACCTGCATCAATTGAAAGCCAGTGTGTGAAACAGCAAACCTAAAAGGAAACGCTCAAGACGTCATAAGGCCTCGAAGGCGTCATCAAGTAAAGGAGACGGATGCCAGGCGTGCAGTATCATAGTTTCTAAAGCTGACTCAGCGTTTGAATGCAATTATTGCAAACGATGGGTGCACTGCTGTTGTGACAAAGAGGTGCATACTACGAGTTTATGAGAAATAACACATGCCCGTGGTTTTGGTACATCTGTCCACTTTGTCGCCCTGGCATAGTCCCACAGAGCGTGTTTGCGGATAGCAGAAACAACAAGTCGCTCTTGTGTCCCAACACAGTCTTATGCAGCTCCCCAACTGCTAACACCACACTGCCAAAACTTGGCACAGACAGTAAGAAGGAAACTCCAGTCCTACTGACTGAAAATGCCAATTTTCACAAGGTGAAGATTCAAAAGGTTGGACCCACAAAATCAAGGGGAGAGAGGACTAGAAAAGTACCACCTGCATCCACAAGCAAGCTCGGCAACACAACAAAGTCTGACCAGAACCTGATGAAGCCTAAAGTTGCTGATGCTGCAAAGGAATACGAGAAGCCAAAGGCCAAACCTAAGTCTGATTTTAATTGGCCTGATTCTCTTATCCTCTTTAACGTACCTGTGAGCAAGGACAGCTTGCTTGAACAGCGGGCCCTTTTTGATCAGGAACAGTGGTCCAACCTGTGCAATAAACTAGGTCTGAATATTAATTCAGTGAAATTGTGCAGGCTGTACAGGGGTGTCCACACGCCTCAGAGTAAGCCACCCCCATTAAGGGTTACACTGGACTCTGCCGAAAAGGCCGAAAAAGTACTATTGATGGCTAAGGTACTAACCATCGACAGAAGTTCGAACATAAGGGTGAGACAAGACAGACCATGGGCTATCAGACAAATGGCGAGGGAGTCACCGGAACTGATGCCTTCTACCTCTATGGTGGTGCACGGTCTTCCGGAGCTGGAAACGGGCACTGCTTGTGAAAAACACATGCATGACGTACAGCAATGGAGATGGCTGTCATCTCAGATGGCCCTTGGCGCTTCTGAAGCCATCTCCATTTCCCGACTACCTCGCCCCGCTCATCTCACACTGATTAGCTCTCTAAAGTTGCTCAGTGTCACATTCAACTCCCCGGAGCAGTTGGCCATAGCGCTTCAACGGTGGTATAAGACCAAGGGAAAAATGGGAGGACACATCTGATGCTGCGAAAGCAGACCTCGAACCATAAGGAGGGAGCAAACTGAGGCTTTAATACGTCCCCAAGCTTCAGTGACACTAGAGCGATGCAGTTTTGAGAATAACAGTCTGTGTCACCCAAGTGTCCTGCCAAAATCCATGAAATAAAACCTTAACGGGCCGGTTTCACCGAAATCGGCCAACTAGTCCCAACATTAAGTCCCATACCAGCAAACAGCTTCACATCAACTACCCCACAACATGCTAAGGTTGTAAGACTCACTGTCAGCTGCCTATATAGCAATGTGAGGGGGTTGGTCATTTTCATAACCTCCTTCTTGTCTATGTTCACCTGGAGTCCTGCCTTTGCTGCTTCTTCGGTTGGTCGGTTTTCGACATAGAACTTTGCACATATGTGCGGCAGTTCAAGTCGCCATACTCCATGTAGCACACAAAGGAAAAGAAGAAAGTAGGAGAAATGCTTAATATAGACAGTAAACAGAGGTGTGAGACAAAGGAATAGTAATAACGAAGAACAAAACAGTTTCATTGGAAATCATAAGTCACAAGGAGTGGATGCATCTGCGTCACTGAGAACGACTTTGAGCCATGTCACCAATTGTTTCCAACCATTGGTTTTTACCGTCCCGAAGACCCCAACCAGGAAGTCTACACCTTCTTACGCGGCTTAGACTAACTGTTGTGGATTTCATTGACTGGTGCCATGTTTTGGTTGCTTCTTCGACCAGTTTGTCGGTTTTCACTTGTAAGTTTTCGATTTTGTGTGACAGCAAACATAAATCATCCGCAAAATCCAGGTCTTCTAGATTCTTCACGTTGGTCCAGGATATCCCTGTCTTCTCGTTTCCCACTGTCTGACGCATAATCCAGTCCACCACAATTAGGAATATCATTGGTGATAATAAGCACTCTAGTCTGACTCCTGTGTTTCCTTCAAACGCTTCGCTGAGTTTTCCGTTGTGGATCACTTGACATGTACCGTTGTCGTACAGTTGTTGAATAAGGTTGATGAATATTTGGGGTACGCCGTAGTACTCGAGTAGTTTCCAAATTACTTCGCGTTTAACGCTGTCGAAGGCCTTCTCAAAGTCTATAAAGTTGAGGTAGAGGTTTGATTGCCATTCCATGCTTTGTTCGATGATAATACGTAGAGTTGCAATTTGGTCAGAACATGATTTGCCTTTCCTGAATCCAGCTTGTTCTGGACGGAGTTCTGTATCCAGCGCGTCCTTGATTCTCTCCAGGATGATGCGACTCAGGATTTTACTTGGCGTCGACAGGGGCATGATTCCTCGCCAGTTCTTGCAGAGTCCCAGGTCGCTCTTCTTTGGTAGTTTCACGAGGTAACCGTTCCTCCAGTCAGTAGGCACCTTTCCCTCCTTCCAGACCTTTTGCAATAATGGAGTCAGCATATCTGCTGTCGTCTCTGGGTCCGCTTTCAGTGCTTCAGGGGGTATTCCATCTGGTCCAGCTGCTTTTCCAGCTTTCAGAAGCTTGATGGCATTCAAGACTTCAGCTTTCGTTGGAGGGTTGGTGTCAACTTGCAGTTGTGTACGTGGTTTTGTTGGTATTTCTGGACGGGTTGTAGGTGGTGGTCGGTTCAAGAGTCCTTTCAAGTGGTCTGCTCATTGTTTAATCTGTCTTTCTTCTTTGGTAATTGGGTTCCTTTGGCTGTCTTTTATAGGTTTCACTTGTGTTGATCTCTTCCCGGATAGAGACTTGGTTATCTGATATAGTGTCCTCAGGTCCCTTTTGCCTGCTGCCTTCTCAGCTTCAGTAGCCAGATTGTCGTAGAATTGTCTTTTGTCCTACCTAGCACTCTTCCTCACTTCTTTGTCCAGTGCTGTGTAAGTTGAAGTCAGCTTCTCCTTCTCTTGTCCGTCTTTGCATTGAATCATTTTGTCTTTCACCATTCTCCTCTCCTCTATTAGCTTCCAAGTGTCCGTTGAGAGCCATTCCTTGTCTTGTTTCTTCTTTCTTCCTAAAACCGTTGAGCACGTTTCGTTGAAAATTACCTTCAGAGAGTTCCAGTGGTCTTCCACGGATGATTCCTCAGTGGTGCTACGTAGTGTTTCCTGCTTTGCTCTGACAGTTGCAGTGAAAGTGTCCTTTGTGGTTGTGTCCTTCAGTTTTTGAGTGTTGTGGCCTATCCCCAGCTGTCCTCGAGGCTTTTAGCTTCACCTTGAAAGTCCCTTGTACTAGATAGTGGTCTGAACCCACATCTGCTCCTCTCCTCGATCTTGTGTCCAGTAGGCTCCGTCTCCACTTCCTTGAGATTGAAATGAAGCCTATCTGGATTTTGGAGTGTCCATCTGGTGAAATCCATGTCGCCTTGTGTATATCCTTGTGTTTGAATACACTGCCACCAATCACCAAATCATTGAAGGCGCAGAAGTCTGAGAAGAGTTCACCACTATCATTCATTTCACCGAGGGTCTCGTGACCCATGGTGAGTTCCCTTCCTGTATTGTCTCCTCCCAGCTTCGCATTCATGTCGCCCATCAGGATTTTGATATCGCTCTTTGGGACGTTGTGCATTACTGTTTGTAGTTGTCTGTAAAAATCCTCCTTCTTCTCTTGTTCTGAGACGTTTGTAGGCGCGTAGCATTGAATGATTGTAACCTTTTTTCCTTTTGAGTTGAACGTGGCTGTCATTGTCCTGGAGGAGATTGGCTCCTACTGCATGAGAGCTTTGGCTGCTGTTGGTGACATCATGATGGCCACTCCCTCGATATGCTCGTGATTGTCCTTTTGTGTGACCGGAATAGATTACTGTCTCTCCAGTTGATAGTTGGCACCTTCCACATCCGTTCCATCTGTTCTCGCAGATTCCCAACACTTCTATTCCATATCTTCTCATTTCTGCGGCTACCTGGGCTGCCTTTCCAGCTTCGTACATTGTACGAATATTCCACGTCCCCATCCTTGTTTTTGCTTTCATCGAAAGGAGGCACATCGGCTGACTGGCTTCCCGGAGGCTTTTACCAGCCTGCGTCATTTCACTTCCTCGATTGCAGCGAAATATAAGGTTATTGTTAATATTTTTAATATATTTGTGTGTTGAAGTTTCTGTAGCAATTTAGTTAATTTTTGGGGTTGGAGTTGCTAGCACCACGCCCCAACCCTCCCTCTTTATCCGGGCTTGGGACCGGCTAGTTTAGGGTTAGGATTACAAAAATTTGGATGAATTGACATATAAAATGTGCTTGATGAATCTCAATAGAGTAATTATAATTATTGAATTAGTATTCTGTTGCGACACTGGCAGGCATTTTCGTGACACTTGAGAGAATGGTGTCCTGTGTAACAGTTCCATGCCATTTTATTTTTATTACTATCATAAATATATGCACTTAATGTATAAAAATCTCGTTTTCGAAGTGATTAGTTGGATCGCTTCAGTGACGACACGATTTTACTGAATGAGGATATTCATATC